CCCCAAAACCCCAAAACCCCAAAACCCCAAAACCCCAAAACCCCGATACAAATCACTCATGTTGAATATTTACAAGGCAGTCCTCTTCTTCGAAGTATTCATATATGGTCTGAGCACCCACTCTTTCTTGGCATTAGGCTGATCAACAGTTCCGAGGGAGATCTGGTATGGCTTAAGCTCAAACCTGGGACCTAGCTCTTTAAGTTTGACCTCTTCTCCTTCTTTTTCGTACACATGGTGCCTGAAGCTGATGTAATCATCGCTATTGGAAAATGTCATTAGTCTCTTGGAGTCTACTTTTGGAAGAGGGAATATATATTTCAGGATGTCTGAGATCCTATCCCCCAACCTAGTCTGGAAGTTATCAAAGATTAAATGAGGGAATGCCTCAGACATAGTCGCAGGCCTTTCTTTCAAGTCATGTCTGAGGATCACATTGTTCAACCCAAAGTATGCAGTAGGGCCGAAGGGAAGATGGCACACGATCATTCCGTCTGGCTCACCCCGATGTTCATGCAGAATGATCATGTCTGAAATATCGTTCTCTTGTCAGATCTTGACTAATCCTTTGATGACATATGCTCCTCTGTTGACTCTAATTGAGTTTGGAACAATAAGTCTTAATTCCTATAAAATTTTAAGAAAAATAATACCTTTTGGAAGTTCATGAGTCTAGATGATGGACTTCTTGAAGTAGTTATCATAACCTTGGGATCCTTATACTTCGCTTCCTCATACTCATCATCAATATGGGACCTTTTGACAAGTGTGTTATCATCGTCATTCTCAAGTTGATGTCTAAGCTCCTTCTCTTCATGACGGAGTTCAAATGGGACTGCTCTATCCTCCTCAATTGCCTTCTTAACGGCTAGTTTTTTCTCAGTGTCCTTAATTTCCTTTTGCTTCTTAAAGAGGTATTCTTTCCTAAGCCTTATATTCTTCCTAATCATTTGTTCGTGTTTCAATAAAAATTATTAAAATTGGGGTTTTGGGGTTTTGGGGTTTTGGGGTTTTGGGGTTTTGGGGTGTTGGGGTTTTGGGGTTTT